CACTCCATAGTTGAAACAACCAACACTGCATCCACATATTGTCAAACATCTCCTGGAGGTAAGGGGCAAAAAGTACCCCTGGTTGAGAACCACTGTTCTATCTCCGCTTACACATCCCTGTACAGTGGTTCTTTTCAGCCTTTTCTTCCAGAAGAACTATATGTTTCTCTCCTTTTCTTACTCATAGACATTGAGTGATAATTGTTGTTGTTGTTATTTCTTGAACATGATTAAAGAACCTCACTCTCTATCTCAAGTGGTTTAATTGTTACATTTTTCTCTAACAAATATAGCATTGCCCCTAAGAGGAGCTCTAGCAAATAACATATACTCTAACTTGCTAAACATTCATCATTTCTCCTCTGAGTGAACAGGAACAGGCCATTTGAGCTTCTGTCACAGGTTCAGCTAGACTGCTTTGCATTAGAGTAAATTTGTACATACCTCTCTATTTCACTAAATGTGAACATGTGCACAATCTCCAGACAAGCATATTGTCTTGCACATAGTAACTGCACTGAAACAGAAAGTATAAATATTGGAATCAGGCATATCTAAATCTCGTTAATTCCTCTTTAATGAGATTTAGTAACCTTAGGCAAGTTAGTTCCTCTGACCTTGCTTCATCCTCTGCAAAATGGGGATAAGGTTACCTCCTGAGTGGATTATTTAATAAAGATTATAGATTATAAGGTAAAACAACTAGTATATATCAGACACTTTAAAATGTTAACCATTGTTATTAATTTTATCAAGAGATATTGAGAAGTATATACAGAGCCTTTGAAGCCAGTATTTATACCTCAAACACCTATACCTAGAGTGTTTACCTCTTTATTTCATTTATGACTTGCTGTGGTCACAGCTGAGGCATGCTAAGAAGAAAGATTATTACATAAATTAGACGTTTATATAGTTTATAAAATGATCCCCCTGATTACTCTATCTTCCCTCTGGCTCTCCACCTAACCATTACCTTACTGCTGACTGCATTCCCTATGCTGTGCTCCCCATCTCCGTGACCCTCTCTATCAGCTGATGATTTGTACTTCTTTAACCCTCTATCGCTTTCTCCCAGCCCCCCCTCCACCCCTTTCCTCTGGCTGTCACCCAATTGTCCTCTATATTTGTGGTTCTGTTTCCAATTAGTTTGTTCTTTTTGTTCCTTAGATTCCATATGTAAGTGAAATCATATAGTATTTATCTTTCTCAGTGTTCTCAAAAAACAGTGAATTTTAAAATTTAGAATCATTGTATTTCTTTTTGCAATGTGAGAAGATGCATATTAATTCTAAAGAAAACATAGGAGATAAAATTATAAATTAGGAGTTTTACTAAAATTGATTCTTATGGCAAAAGTGTCATTTATTTTTACTGTTTTCCCAGTATATGTGATATATTTTTTCTTTCATGTTTATTTCCCCCTGATGTATATATGGGGTTTTGACCTTTTTAAGACAAACTGAAAAATAAAATATGATGAAAATAGACAACCTGCAAGTCACATTACAAAATTCAATAAGTAAGCAGAATGCACTATTGTGTTTATGAAAAAGGATTTCATTGTTCAATGTGTTACACAAGGATGTAATTTTCCCTAGATTAGAAAATAAAGTGTTATTATAAGGCTGAGGTACATGATTTTGGTTATATCATAGAATTTAGAGGTGAAGGGGACCCCAAAATTATTTAATACAACCATCCCAATTTATTAGTAAAGAAAGTGAGGCCTCTAAAGCCAAGTGACTTTCCCCAAATTTTTAACCAATTATTAGTAACAGAATTTGTATGAGGATCTGATTTCCACTGAGTCAGACACCCCGCTGTTAGTAACATATCTCTGAAAAAAAAAATAGAATTTTGGAAACTTCTAGAAGATTCAGCAGCTATATTGTTATGAATTCAAAAAAAATGGAGAATGATAGTGGAAGTATTTTTAGAGGTTGTTGTGGTACCAACCACCAGGTGAAAATATAGTATTTTGACAGGAATAAACTTGATAAAAACTATATTTCAATATAGTACAACTATTTTAAAGTAAGAAAAGCACCGCTGTTGTCCTCTACCAAGTCTTTTAGAGAAGAGACAGGTAGATGTGGCAGGCTATAACAGAAACTGAACTCTAACCAACACATAATATTTATTTTTTCCCCACATAATCTCTCACTCTCTCATTTTCAAAGCACTTATGAATTTATTAAGGAACATACACAACATCAAAAGCTTAGTGGTGTTATTTAAGAATTAATTAGGTGTCTTCAAACTGCCAGTATATTTCCAATACTTCCTATGGATCTTGAATACTGCATATCTTTAACATGTCTTGAATCTTCCAGTAGCCTGGTACAACTTTTCAAAGTAGACATCAATAAAACTGCTAGGGTTTTCCTCGAGATTTCTTGTGTCTTTTTCTTGAGTTCTTCTTTCGTTTTCCCGACTTGTGTTGTTCAGCCATTGTTACAAGATCTTCTGGGACACTTTGATTTGCTCTTTCCAGAATTTTAATCAATTCGGGGACGTTCTTCCAGTCGCTTTGAGTCATAAGTGTAGTAGATATTCCCATCTTCCCTGCTCTTCCGGTACGCCCTACTCTGTGTACATACTCTTCAATATTCCGTGGAAAATCGTAATTATATACGTGTGTGACATCATCAACATCGAGACCTCGGGATGCTAAATCAGTAGCAATCAATATTTTCACATCTCCACTTTTAAAATCATTTAATGCTTGCTCACGATCACTCTGTTCTCTGCTGCCATGCAAGGATTGTACAGGTATGCCTTGGAGGCTTAAATCGCTGGATAAGTCATCAGCAACAAGTTTTCTGTTGACAAATATGATGACTTTGTCTTTGGGCGACAAGTTTCGTAGGAATTCTTGTATAAGAGATCGTTTTTCTTCTTCTGTGGTAACAGTTACATTTTGCTTTACTGTGTTTACGGCAGCCAAATCAAGAGTACCAACATAAACAATCATAGGCTCTTTCAAATAAGATTGTGCAAGTCGATGAATGGTATCTGGCCAAGTTGCACTTGTCATAATTGTCTGCCGATCTGGGCGTATGTCGAATAAGATCTTCATTATTTGATGGTCAAATCCCAAATCCAGCATTTTATCTGCTTCGTCTAGAACTAGGTAGGTAATGCTTTTTAGGTTGACAGATTTATTCATTTGTAGATCATTCAGCCGTCCGGGAGTTGCAATAATGATGTCTGTACCTTTGGCAATGTCTTTTATTTGTTGTTCTCTACTTTCACCGCCATATATACAGATACTTGTAAGACCTTTATATGAATACTTAGAACATTCAGCTTCCACTTGAAGAGCTAGTTCTCTAGTCGGTGTAAGGACTAGCATGCCAGGTCCATTTCTTTCTTCTCTAGATACTGGTTGAGAATTGAGATGAATAAACCCAGGCATTAAATAAGACAGTGTTTTGCCTGTTCCAGTTTGGGCCACTCCTATAAGATCTATCCCTTGTAGAATAATTGGCCACGCCTGTGATTGAATTGGTGTTGGCTTTTGAAATCCTGCTTTTTCGATGTTTTTAAGCAGATCAGGATAGTGCTGGAAAGCGTCTTTGAACTTCAAAGTTGGTTTGGGGATGGAACGTTTTTCACCATCTTTCCAGTCATCGCATATTATATTGAAATTTTCTTTTCTCCAGTTGTCTACCTGAACTTGAGATAGTGAGCTTGTTGCTTGGGATTCTATGTAAAAATTTTTCTTAATTGGTGGTAAACCTGCCCATTTTCTTTTATTCCACTCAACAACTCCTGCCCTGACTCGATCCCAATCTATCCAAGGCCGAGCTTGTGTACCAGTGTTATCTGTGCTTAACTCTCTTCCAGCAGAGGCTTGGGATGCAGCATTATCAACGCTGGATTCTGAACCGTAGCTTTCTTCTTGTTTTTTAACAATAGTTTCTATAGCCTCTTTGGCCTTTGCTTTCATGTCCTTGCTGCCAAATATTTTTACCACTGCTTCAGAATCACCTTGTATGATAAATATTTTGGTGTTTGTCATACTCTGAATGTTTTTTATTTTTGATCCGCCACGACCAATCACCACACCGATCATGCTGTTCTTTATTTTAAAGCAGAGTGGTGGTTCTTGGGGACCG